CATACGGTAGATCAATTTCAAGCTCTTTGAGGAATTTCCACACTGATTTCCATAGTGCCTACACCAATTTGCACTCCTACAAGCAGTAGACAAGAGTTCTCCACATCCTCAGCAGTGTTTGTCACTGTTTGTTTTCAGATCTTTGCCATTCTGTGAGGGGCAAGATGAAATCTCAAAGTGCATTTCCCCAATGACTAAAGACGTTGAACATTTTTTAAGTATTTCTCAGCCATTTGTGTTTCATCCTTCAGACCTCCCTGTTCCGCTCCTAGGCAAACACTTCCTGAATCTGCCCCACTCTTCCATCTTCAGAACTGGCAAACGTGGATGAAATATTTTTTCAGGCCTTGGATTTCTCCCACCTCTTCTGTCACTATTCTTCACTGAACTACTCTTCTTTAAAGGCTCATATGATTCAAACAGGCCCAGCCCCAAACAAAGAATAATCTCCCACTAACCACTTCTACAAAGTCTCTTTTGCTGTATAAATAACATGTTCACAGAATCCAAGGATTTTGAACATTTTGAAAACTTGAGCCTTGTCACACAGTGGTGGAAAACTATTGGAGAGTTTTCAGTAGGGGCAGGATAGCATCCAGTTTGCATTTCTAAAAAGATCCCTCTGCATGCATCATGCAAACTAAGTCAGAAAGAACATACTGAAGTCATCTAGAAGAGATATAATATTAGCATAGACCAGAAAAACATCTGGAAGATATCAGGAAGGAGGGATGGATTGGAGAGTCATTTACAAGACTACTAACAACAGGGTTTAGTGCTCAGTTAGATGTCAGAGATGAGGAGAGGGAATACAGAATTAGACAAGTAACACCCAGGTTTCTGGCTAGGATAACTCATAAATGAAAGAGCAGCTTTGAAAGAAAAGAAAATAATAAATTCATTTGGGAAAACATTGAGGTCAGTAGGCTATGAAGATGTCCAAGTACAGATGTCTAGTTGGGAATTGGATCCAAAAGTTTAAACTTCGGGAGAGATGTCTGGACCGCAGGTTTATCTCTGTATGGGTGTCATTAGCATACACATGGAAACCAAGACACTGGGAAAGCATGAGGAAGAGAGAACGGAAATGAGAGAGAGAGCGAGGAAAGGGAGAGGAGAGAGAGAGAGAGAGAGAGAGAGAGAGAGAGAGAGAGAGAGAGAGAGAGAGAAACAGCATCTGAGGGACTATAGAGGAGAAGGAGCCTGCATAGGAAAGTAGAGCACTGAGCATGGAAGAAAAGAGATGTGGAAAGGGAATCTAGTGTCACTCATCCTAAGGGAAGAGACAATAGAGTGCTCGGACCTAAAAGGGACATCCGTGTCATCTCCTCCAAAGCTCATGATACATTCTAGAAGAGGAGTAGAAAGAGTAGAAGAATGAGGATAGGGAGATGAGCCACACAAAGATGGACATGACATAACAACTGCACACATGAGTCACTGCAGCTGTGCTTATCTGCACAAGGCCTGCACAAGATTAGGACCCCTCAACATTTCATCATGGGTGGGGAGAGGCCCTTTGTGAGGGATTATTGGCAGTTAATAGATGCTGTGGGAAGGGGTGTGTCATTTTCTCCAGGGGTGTAGCCACTGAAAAGTTACCCAGGCTCTTGTAAATAACCTTCTGCCCACACTTGTGCAAGCAACTCTAAGTAAACTCGCTAGATCATAAAGAGAAAGAAGACATGGAAATAAAAGTGGGGCAAATTGGGAAGAAAGGTTTCTTGGGAGAAGGGTGAGGATGAGAGAGGGGAGTGGGGGAGGTGAACATGACTAAAACTCATTATACACATGTATGAAATTTTCAAAGAATAAAAGGGGATTAAAGAAATACTAAATACATTTTTGTAAATTTTTTGTTGAATTTTTGCACAACATCTTAATCAATCTTTAACATCTTATATCCCCTTCCCCACTGGCACTGTCCCATAGCCCCGCCTCACTGGAATCCATACATTCTGTCATTTGGGTTAAGGCCTATTGTGTCAAGTTAGTGTCCCTAGATGTCCCTCAGTGCAAGTTCATCCACTGGAGTCTAGTCAAACCACCTAGTCTCTCCCTTTAAGAAGATTAACTCTGTTTGAGTTTGCATAGGTCTTGCACACATTGACACCATTGCTGTAGGTTCATATGAGCAAGGTCCCAGGAGCTTGTAGGACTCTATTTTCATATGATCATGTACTTTCTCCCTGACTCTTACAATCTTTCTGCTCCCTCTTTCACAACAATCCCTGAGTCATGGGTGGGTGGAGTTTAATGTACGTGACCTGTCCAATGACACACACTCTGCAGACTCTTACTCTCTATGCTTTGGCCATTTGTGACCTTTTGTGTTCATGGTCCTCTGTTGCATAAGGGAGCTTTATTGATGAGAATTGAGAGATGAATTAGTGTCCCTTGTCCTATGTCCTATGAGTCTTAGTTGTAGAGATTGCACTTAGACTTGGGCAATTCACAATCTCTGTGTGTGACTAGTTGTTGAACTCTGTAATAATCTCCATCTGCTGCAAAGAAGCTTCTTTGGTGAGTGGTGACTGGCATACCTGTTTGTAAATATAAGGATTCATATTTTGCACATATTAAGAAATTACATTTGTCTAGGGATGTGATAGCCTTGGGGTTTTCTCTAAGATCTTTGACCTCTCCAACCATTGTCTATTTGATTATATTTACAGTACCACACATGAGTTTCCTCCCATTGAGTGTGGGCTTTAAGTTTAATTAGGCAGCTGTTGATTACCCTCAAGATAAAAGTGTCACTACAGCAATGTCATTTGCTGTGCTGGTCATTGATATGGTTATTAGGCTTTGAAGCTGAGGTTGGACCATCAATTGGTTCTCACTTAGCAGCTTGCATAGTGCTCTCCAAAGCTATGAGAGCTAGCCTTAGGGGAAGTGACTTCCAGGTCAGTTCCAGCTCCATTGCTCCAAATCCTGTGTCCAAAATAGGCCCTGTCTTCAGCAATAAGGTCTTACCTTCATGTTCTGGGAGGTAGTCAAGATCTGTGGTGATGGCCTGTGTAATTTGGGAAGTCTCTTGGACTACCCTGGCCTTTGAATTGTTGGCCTGAATACATTTTTGGAAAAAGCAAGAGTGACCAAGTACATTAAATGGTGGAAGGAAGTCAGTAAGACCAGGACTTAAAGGAAGAACATGATCCACAGGGCAGTTATTACTCATGGGCAAGATCAGTGTTCATGGGAGAAGAGGTTGGGGGAGTGATTGGGAGGTAAGGAGACAGAGGAAACTTGCAAGTCATGGAGAATTTAAAAGTAGCTAGAGGGACATGGAGGCTGAAGATGAGACTTGTTGGGGTGACAGAGAAACATAAAGACAATGGAAATTTTTTTTTTGAAACTTGTTGATGTGAATCATAGGGGAAAGATGGAGAAGTCTGCAGAAATTGTGGCATGTAGGAAGAGTAGTTTATTTGTTCATGCCTTGGCTTGTTTAATGTAACACATTATAACACAAATGGAAGAAGCTGGTTGTAAGAAAGAGCTTAAAACAGAGGAGATACTCAACTTATCAGTCTTAAATTGGAGCTGAGTTCCAGACACATCTTAGGAGGAATTGGTCCTGCCTGGACCGTCCCCTGGTGTGAGAGGCTTCTAGAGATACCAGGCCAGGGAAACCGAAAGGCTGTTTGTAAGATTGTGTTAAGTGGCTTCTGCTTTCATTTTGCTTTTGTCTCTTGTCATTTACTGGCATAAGTACTCAGGGTGGTACCATGCTGTGACTAGAAGATGCAAATGGTGAACCAAGGGAGCAGGGAAAGCTCAGAGCCAGAAAACTGCTGAGCAGTACGGCCAAGCAGTGTACTTGGGGGTGGAAGGAGAGGCTGTAAGTGCCAAAACACATGATGTTCACACTCAGAAAGACCAGGAGTAAGCCCTGAGGTGGACTGTGAAGTGGTTAAACATCGAATTTTGGAGAGGGGGAAGCCTGATTTATGAGGTGCTAGCTGCAGGAATGGCTAGACTGGCTAGCTTAACTTTGTAAGAGTACCAGGCAATTCTAGGTTTTGCCAGCCTTTCAGGGGATGAGGGAGGTGTTCAAGGAAAGTGAACCATGATTTCTAATTCCAATGAGTTCATCATCTACTTGCAAAAAGATGAATCAATACAAACTGCCGGTCAATACACCTTGCTAATTTTCCTCACCACCATTATCATTGTTGCTGTTGATAAGTTAGGAGTGAAATTAAAACAAAATGTAAGAATTAAACAAAAGGATGAATTGAGAATCTGAAACATCATGTGCTGAAAAGTGCTTAACACACATGCATGAGGACCTGAGTTTGGATCCCCAGAGCACTACTTAAATCCAGGTATAGTAGTGTGCATCTGTAATCCCAGTTTGGCCGGGGTAGGGAGGGAATAGAAACAAGCAGACCCCCGGAGCTTGCAGGCCAGCCTGTCTAGCTGAGTCAGTAAGCTTCAGGTTCGAGGGGGACCCTGACTCAAAAAATAAAGTGGAACATGATGAAGGAAGACATCTGAAGTTGGCCTCTGGCCTCAATGTGTACGTATCATACATGTACATGTGCATACATACATACATACATGCACATGTACCAACATGAGCCAATATACACACATATACCACACACTATAAATACATGAGAAGATATATATATATATATGTATAAGTAATATGATTTAAGGGGGAAAAGTAATAAATACAGTAAATTGGTTTTTGAAGGCTTCTTGGGAAGATAAGTGTAAATAATGGTGACTATAAATTGATATTTTTAGGGCTGAAGAGATGGCTCAGTCATTAAGAGCATTGGTTGCTCTTGCAAAAGACCGGGGTTCAAATCCCAGCACCCACATGGCAACTAACACTGTAACTCCAGTTTCAGGAAATCTGTTGCCCTCTTCTGTCCTCCGCCAGCATTGCATGACACGGGTGTACTTACAATACATGCAGGTATGACATTCCTACACATTAAAACAAAAAAGTTTAAATTGATACTTCTGAATTTCCTTTGTTAAAGCCAAGAGACAACACAAAGAGATGGCTCTCTGGTCCCCATAGACTGCAGAATGGGCTCCTGGAGTGAGTGGTCAAAGTGTGATCCTTGCCTCAAACAAATGGTAAGTATTCATCTCCATCTACCCAGCCATCCCAAAAGGAAACTATTGCTAACATCTCTCGGGAATTGTCTATAAAAGGCAAGGGTCCTCACAAACAAATTCCAACCCAGAAAAAAGGTATCATTGGCATGAATGTAGCTGACTGCATCGGGAGATCTGAATCAGATCTGAATTGAACAGAAGACAGAATAAGTGTTCATGACAATTCATCTCTGTAAGAGACTGCACAACCTGGACCATTACATGTTGCTGTAGGTGACGTGAATGGCAGTTTGTACCATTTCTCTCTTAAAACCATGGACCCATTTTGGCCTGGGGGCCGCAGCTTTAGACCGCAATCCCCTTTTGCATTGGAAAATTTAATCTTTTCAACTGTTTTTGTTTTTTGCAGTTTCGATCAAGAAGCATTGAGACCTTTGGACAGTTTCATGGAAGAAGCTGTGTGGACGCTCTGGGAGATCGACAACAGTGTGTGACCACCGAGGCTTGTGAGGAGGTGCAGGAGGACTGTGAAAGAGACTTCCAATGTGGAACAGGTAATCTGGGGCTCCAGTTGCTCTCCATGGGCTTTTATAAAAGCACACTTATGTGATAAAAGAAATAAACATGCTTTCAGACACGTATTTCCAAGTACACGTGTAGAAAAAATTCAAGTGTATTTGGCTAGCACCTCACTTCCGATGTTAAAATGCCCATAATGACTTCAGCAAAGAGAAAATTTGGCATCACGCACACAACATATTTCCTGATTTTGACTGCAGGCAGGTGCATAAAGAGGCGACTTCTGTGTAACGGTGACAATGACTGTGGAGACTTTTCAGATGAAGATGACTGTGACAGTGATCCACGTCCCCCCTGCCGTGACCGAGTGGTAGAAGAATCTGAGCTGGGACGAACAGCAGGCTATGGGTTTGTGTTTCCCTTAAATCTCAAAGAGTTCATAAAAGAGCTTGTACAAAGGGCACAACTGATATGACTTTTGGGTCCATATTCTGTTTGTTTTGTTTTGGGTTTGGTTTTTTTAAATTTTTTATTGAACTTTTATAATTTCACACAACAGTTCTTAATCAAATTTAGACTCCCTCCCCATCCATGCCCTGCCATCCCCCCACAGGACTTCATGTATTCTGCCATACATGTTATGTCCCATCTAGTCAAGCATTTGTACCCAGATGTCCTTCAGTGAAAATTCATCCACTGGAGTCTAGTCAGCCCATCAAGAGATCATAAGTAAGGCATATTCTCCCTCACACAGTAGATATCGGTCTCCAGTAGTTCTCAGTCTAGGGCCAGCCCACCACCCATTTTTCTCCTCCCCTCTGGGCTCTTGTTTAATTGAGCTGGCATGGGTCCTGGGCTCAATGCTACCATTGACACAAGTTCACATGTGCAACCTTCCAGTGTCCTGAAAGCCTCTGCTTCCCTGTTCATGAACCAGTCCTGGCTCTTACAATCCCCCCCCCCTCCACAATGGTTCCAGAGCTGTGGGTGGGTGAGGTTCAATATAAGAGTCCTATTCAGGGATATGCACTTTGCAGTCTCTTGTTCTTTAAAAAAACTTGGCCAGTTGTGACCTTCTGTGTGTATCACACTCTATTATATAAGGAAGCTTCACTGGTGGGAATTGGGGGATGCATTAGTTTTCTCTCTACCCCTTGTTCTGCTAATCTGCTATGTTCCATGAGCCTTAAGTGTAGAGGTTCAACTGTAGATGTGTCACCTAGGACTGGGCATCTCTCAGATGTATATTCTCTGTGTCTGACCAGTTGTAGAATTCAGCAATATCCTCCATCTGTTGCAAAAGAAGCTTCTTTGATGAGTGGTTATGGTATGCTTGTCTGTAAAGACAAGGATCCATATTTAGTATATGGTAAGAAATTTCATTTGTTTAGAGATATGATAGGGATAGGGTTTTCTCTAGGATCTATGTTCTTTCCTGCCATGTGTATTTGACTGTGTTTACAGTGCCACCCATGAGTTCACTCCCATTGAGAGGGCTTTAAGTCCAATTAGGTAGCTGTTGATTGCCCCCAGATAACAGTGCCACTACTGCACTAATAGAGACAGTTTGCCATGATGGTTGTGGTTATTAGGCTTTAGTGCTGGGTTAGACCATTGACTGATTTTCTCCCTTGGCAGTTTGCATATTATCATCTAGTATTATGAGAGCTAAACTTCAGGTAGAAGTCTTCCAGGTCAGTTTCTGCTCCATTGCTCTGAAGTGTCCGAAGTACGTCCTGTCTTCAGCAGCAGAGTCTTATCTACTAGTTCTGGGAGATAACCAGGAGCTTTGGCAATAGCCTGTGCGGGTCCATATTCTTTTAGGGTGACACTTAAGTCCTCCAACATATTCACTTAGTATGTCAAGATACTACCTGGGTATATAAAATGAGTTACACTTGAAGGATAGCGCTTCTCAGCCCAATATGAGTCATCTCATATGACGTATCTCATATATGAATATCAGGAAGAGTACAACAACATATGACATGTTAACATTTAGAATTGAACAGCCCATAGCAAATATATCAAACCCATTAAAGCATTTGAATTCCTGAGAAGACTACCTTCCATTGGAACTTTTCCTGAATTGATGCCTGAGTAGAAGTTCTGAGAAGGTTCCAATATTCTGGAGTTGAGCTAGAAGAAATGGGATTAAAGTAATCAGTGATGATGTCAGAGGATGATAGAATTTGGATTCTGGTTCTCATTGTAGACAGGTGACAGGCAAAGAGGCTCTAGGCTGTGAGGACTAAAGGAAGTCTAGGAGTTTAGAGCTCAGGAGTATAGAGAGGAGAGATGATTCTGCAGACATTTGTGTTCCAGAAATTGTGCTCTATTCTATTCCATTCTAGTTGCAAGGTATTCCAGGGACAGCCTGCTTAGTCTCTATTATTGTCCTGAGCTGAGTAGTTAAGTCCCTGACAAAGACACAATTGTTCCCACACTTAACAGTACACTCACAGGGATAAGTTGTTCTATTTCGCCACCTATAAGGTAATGGGTTTCTTTATTCTCAGAGCTTCCGTCTTGATTCATATAGATGCTCAATAATTGCTTGGTGGGTATATAAACAGGGGAGTTGCGTAATGAATAAAAATCTATTCATAAGTGCTTTCTGAAACACAGGTCATTGGTAACTGGCACTAGGTAAGATGGAAACTAGGTTCTTGGAGTGAAATTGAGGGGCAGAATTGGAATGAAGACAGGAGAAGAAAGTAGATGGAGGAAATGGTAAGAGAAAGGCTGACAGGCACTGGGATGATGGGGGTTCTCGGATGAAACAGGAAATATTTAAGGATGTCTAAATATCATTTCAATTTACCAGGCTTACAGAGGACAGTTTTGGAATGTTCTACTGGCATCTACTGGATTGAGGCCAAGGATGACGCTGACCATACACATGGTAGCCTGATCCAAATTGTCAGTGGTGCTGAGGTTGAAAAGCCCTACATTAAGACCCAGTTCCTAAGATAAGACCTTCATGTCAGGTTTGGCTAACAGTGAAGACATTTTTTCACTCTGAAAATAAGTATAAAGGGACTGGAGATGGTTTAGCGGTTAAGAGTACTGACTACTCTTGCAGAGGACCTGGGTTCAATTCCCAGCACCCACACAGTGGCTATAAACCATCCTTAACTCCAGTTCCAGGGGAATCTAAAGCCCTCTTCTCACTTCCACAGCATTGCACAACACACATACTCACATACATGCAGGCAACACACTCATACACATAAAATAAAAATATTAAAATATTTTTTAGAAAAAGAAAGAAAATACGAACAAAATTTCAGGATACCAAAAGTCAGGCACAAGATAAAATATTTCACATGCTCTTTATTCACTTCATAAAACCTTGTCCCAGCAGCATTCAATTATTCACAGTGCCCCTGGCCCTTAGTCTAAACCCTGTATTCTTGAATCAAACATTTTCTTAAGCCTTGAGCTGAGCAGGGAATCTTAGTAAATGGCAATAAATAGATCAGGATTGTCCAAAAACTTTCTAAGCAGCTCAGTACACAAGCTCAAATTACCCCCAACTCCTTCTGCTGCTTTCCTCGGGGAGACACTGAGAGTCTATGGTGAAAGCCCATTACTGTTTTATTTTGCTTTATTTGGGATCCAGGAAACATTTTTATCTCTAATCTCAATGAAAGAATCAGGGAATCACATGTGTTATCTATTCTTACTAAATGCAATTTTATAGATTCTCTTATAGGAAAAGAATACAGAAACATTGGCATACTTAGCTAAAAAAAAGCACTCATTCATTTTCTATTGGTTCCCTTTGTTCAAGGAAAAGGAAAATTTGTTATGTAGCATTTGCCAACAAGTTTCATAATGAGACATCCCAGAGATCTGGCAAGGAATAGTTAATACCTCATGCTTTACTACAGTTGGGGGTGCTGTTGGGAACGTCATGAAGCTGAGCCATTAAGGCTGAGGAGGGGGCCTAACTTACAGGGAAGGTTAGCTGCAGACATGGAAAATGAGGTAGGTCTTGACAGAATCAGTCCATCAACACTTTTTATTAAATTCCTTGTTATTATGAGAAAAAAAAAAAACTACCAAAGTTAGTCTTTATAAAACCCATTGCACCATGCTGCCATTTGCAGCAGAACGTTCCCTTGAATCTCTTTGTACATTCCATTGCTATACATTGTGGGAATGAATCTATGACTTTGTCAGAGGAGCTATTATGCTCATTTTGTCAATAAGAACCAAATGAAATCCTTGAGACCACTTGGAGAGAACTAAACCCACTTAGGAGAACTAAAACCCTAGCTTCTGTGGATCATATAAAACAGCACTTTCTTCTCATTGTACCACTTTATTTTTCTCCTTCTCCTCACACCCACCTCAACATCCCCCATACCACTCCAAAGCCCCCAAATCAACATCTTGTTTGCAAAGAAAACTAACCTTAAAAAAGAAAGCCCTAGTGACTCAGAAGGCAAGGGCATTTGCCACCAAGTCTGACAACTTGAGTTGAGTTCCTGGAACCCACATGGGAAGAAAGAACCCTCTTCCTCAGGGTGTCCTCTGACCTCCACACATGTGCTATGTGTACCCACAACACATACTTACAAACAAATAAATAAATAAGTGTAACAATATAAAACTCTTTAATAGCTCTTTATTACCAAAATAGTTGAATTAAGATAGGAAAACCAGGTGTGGGAGTGGAACATGCCTATAATCCCAGAGGGAAGGCTGAAGCAGGTAGATCATGTGTTCAAGGTCAGCTTGAACTACACAGCAAGACCACCCCCGTCCCAAATTTTTAAAAAAGATTATACTACAACCATTAATACTAAGAAGCTTTAAAACAATATACTTTGTTATATTATCATAATCTTCAATGCCATTAATAGTTTTTAAAATATTGTATTGGGGTTGGAGAGATAGCTCAGTGGTTATGAGAACTGGATGCTCTTGCAGAAGTTTGGTTCCCAGAACCCACATGTCAACTAACAATTGTCTGAACTCCAGTTCCGGGGAAACCAACACCCTCTTCTCGCCTCCTCGGGCATTGCACAACATGAGTGAACTTACATATTTGCAGGCAATATATTCATGCACATAAAATTACCCTGGGTCCTATGCAAGAACAGTCAGTGCTGTTAATCACTGAGCCATCTCTACAGTTCCCAATGCCATTAATATTTAATATTCATTGTAAGTCTCCATTGTTTTTACACAGAGCTATGACCTACATGTGAAATAGAAGTGATGGGCTTGAACAACCCAGTCAGTGCAACATGCTTAGAAACCACTTTGCCACAGCTCAGTCTGGGGAACCCCAATGAATCCTATCTGCAGTTTTGTATTTTTAGATTTTTCTTACATAAGAAAGTCCCAAGCACTTGATATAATTAATTTATACATTTCCATTTGAAGGATTCTTTCATATACATTATTGTGCTGGCAGAATTCTGTTGTATCACGAGTGTTTCAGCCTCTTGACCTGTAGGCATCTGAGATCTCCACAAATGTTCAGGGAAGTTCTCCAACCCGTCTTGCATTCATTGAAAAAACACAAATCCAAACCAGCTGCAAATGATGTACAATATGCAAGGAATTATTTTTGTAATCCAAGCATAGCTGTACTTCTGTGAAGGGAGTTTTCTGGTCAGTTCACCTGATAAATTAGAGCTGCCTGTGGTTCTAGGGCAGCTGTGGAAGCAGCCATCACTAAACACAGCCAAAGAACACAAGTTCTTGAAATTTCCCAGGTGATGATTTTCTATTCATGAGAGGTTTTCATGTTTCTTGATGGAATAATATTGGCTCATTTTGGACTAGACTGGCTGTCTCTGTAGGAGTGGAATCAAGTCAAAAGTTTTTGAAACATTTCTTCCTTAGTAGTGGTTTAGACTGGATCACTTTCATTGTAACTTTCCAGATGGATCCAGCCAACTGGTCAGTTTGCTTTTCTGTGAAACAATAACCTTCAAACTAGGCTATGCATGGCAAGGGACAAATGAGAACCTTCCAAGGGTTATCAAGTAAGTTTTAAGGTAATAGTTCCCTCAACTATTAATTATGTAACTGATCTAACAGTAAGAACTCAATCTCCATTTACACTAAATTTTTCATAAAATTGAGAAGCATGAGGACACAGCCTCATTCTATTATGGAGCTCACTCTCCTTTTTTGGATCTTTTTAAATTCTACACTTTTTTAAAGAGGTTTTTATGTAGTCCAGGCTGGTATGGTACTCTTGTGTAGCCAAGGATGGGATTACACTATACCTGGGTTTTTGTGGTGCTAGAGATTGAAGTCAGGGTTTCATGTATGCTAGGATCTACCAACTGTGTTCCATTCCTCTAGCCTCCTTGCATTTCTTTTACACTTTTCTCCTACCTTCCAAAAGTCTACCTCACTTTTGCTGCACAGTGAAAAACTCAAGACCCAATTCCAGATCTTAGAGTTCCTTCAACACCTTGAAAACTAAATGACTTCCATTTTTTAAAAGAAATTTAATTACCAGTTGATGAACTATAAAAATATTTTTGATAAAAGATTATTATCTGTACAAACTTTTTGGTATGTAGCTCAGAAGATCCAAGAACTGAGTGACATCATCATAACAAAACATCTTCTACTTATCGAAGTATTCTGTGAGCAAACTTTATCAGCATTTACATCTATAAAAATGGAAAAGAGAAATAAAACTGATGTTGAACTCCATCTCTTGCTAGCGCTAACATTTATCTATGGATGCAGAAACTTACCTATTAATTTGAAAAGAAGCCCCATTCATTTCATTGAGATTGTTTTCCAATAAAATTTTATTTGGTTTAGTAATGATTTTACATGTGTTACTTATTATAATTTTTAGCACACAGACCCTATGGTCAAGGTATATTTAATATTTTAAATTTTTTAAAAATATTTTATTATTTTTATTTTA